TGAAAGTCACTAGAAGGGTTACTTTAATCTTCCATAGTACTGTTCGTTTCGTAGCAGATAAAGACTGCAGAATGTGATCTTAACGTGCGGAATATTTGCAGGGGTACGTGTAAATCTGTTTTTGAGCAAACTTGCTTGTTTAGTATTGTGGTTATTTGTGTATGGAATAAACTGTTCAAGTGCATGTTGGACATTTCCATGTTGAGACTCAGTCGAAAATGCATCGGCTGCCGGTGCGAAGAAGCGTTTTTTGCACAGTTTCCCCGCAGGTTTTTGTTGCTAACGGCACTTTTTTTTCCGGCAAACGCTTCCAACTAAGAGAATTTAGAATAGCTCTCACGACTGCTAGAAATTGTTGCAATAGCTCCCAATCCATGCCCGAAAAATTCAGCGCTCTAGATGTTTTGGTTGCGGAGTTACGTCAAGTTCCACTTGTTTGTACGTGAGTGACGACGTGAATGCTTCGCATGCGACTGCTCAAACTCGGTCCGAGCAGCGCTCAAGATGTTTTCGTTGCAGAGTTGCGTCAAATTTCGCGCGTTCTTGAGTTACCAATGAATGCTTTCTTCGCGTGCGGTTGCTCACACATGTCTCTGGGTAAAGCTCGGAAAGTTTCAGCACTCCACGTGCTCTGGTTGTGGGATCACGCCAAATTTCATGTGTTTGTACGTGAAAGTGGTGTGCAGTTCGTTTTTGCGTCCATCTGGTCAAAGGCCACTGTCGATTATGATCAAGAAATTCCAGTCCTACACCTGCTTCATTTCTGAAGTTGCAAAAGTGCGTGTGTGAAATCTTCACATGCCTGTACGTGAGATGCAGAAGGGCTGGAAAACTCAATTTGCTTTCAAGAGCACAACAGTTAGCGACAAGTAACGCTGCAAAATTGCAGCTCTCCACAAATTCTTGGTCAGCTTAAATCTGGAGTTGGCATGATGCCGGTTTAGACTGTGATGTGTGCGTATATGAAACTTTGGGGTGCGTGTAGATCGAGTTTGGAAACTTCAGATTAGAAGTGGCCAAGGAACATCTCTGTGAAGTTTCGGCCTCCTATCTTGCGTTATTCCCGAAAACGCTTTCTCACCAGAAAAGTTTCACGTGCCCATACGTGGGAGACAAGGACTTGAGCTCCATTCTGAGGATAGGAACCCGCACGAATGTATAGATTAAATTACCAAAGTTTCAGCCCTGTAGCTTTTTTGGATCTCGAGATGAAAACTCGTTACAGACGCACACACAGACACACACACACACAGACAACCCCTCGGCAATATGCGTTTTGCATTACAAAGATGCAAAAAACGAATAAAAGT